CTCTGTCCTGTAATGCAAAGCAGTTTGTTTATTATCTACCAAAACTTGATGCTCATTTGTTTTGTATGCTTGAAAGAATTTATGTGACTGTAACCTATTCAGTTAGAAGCCTGCAGTGTGCGACAAGTTTTCTTGCCCTGGTGACCGATATCAGTGTGTAGCGTGTGGGTACGAGACCATGGTTGCGTAACCCAATTACTTTTCTGTGGTCTTCTTCTAAGATAATCAGCCGATTCGCACATTAGGCGACCATCAAACTCCTTCAGCTGGTCACATCAGATTGAGAAGTGAGTGATCTAGAAGCTTTTCTAAACGACCAGTGTACTTAACTTCATCAACAAACAAATAATATTGAACAACTGGTTTAATTTTAAATCAAATCACTGACTGTTTTAACTTAGCATCATATCTCGATAAATGGAGAGAAAATGTGTTAAAGTACCGTGTGATGACCAAAGGGTTCGATCCCAGTTGAGACAACGGATTGGCACTGTTGATGCAACCCAATCAGGTGCAAAAAGCTGTCTAATGCCTCCTAGCTTTTAAGTTCCCGCTTCATTTGCTCTGAACACGAGGAGATTTCACATAGCAAAGCTCATTAGGTTGGTTCTGATACGTTTGGATCTCAGATGATCATCGACAAGGATCATCAACTCGACAGCTTCTGACTGCGTGACCTGCATGCTCCTACTCACCATAAAAAGAAGGCAACTCATGACCTAACAAATTTGCAAAATAATATAGCGTTTCCCGTTTCTACGATCATCAAGCTGTTAGCCGGCGTAAATATATATGATCTGACTCATACTAGATAGAACGATGCCCATGAAATATTATCCCATTTATGTTGTCAGAAAGCCTATTTGGGCTCCTTCTTTCTATCGTATAAGACCGAAAGAAGACAGGCTGTGGTCGAGCGGTTAGGGTCGCTACCGAAACCCTCCGGGAGATGTTTGTACTAATCGCATCACCGCTTCCCAAATTTTTCCTGTTATGTTTGTCCCCAGGCAGCTCCTCCTGCCAAAACGTTTGCAACAATATTCTATCACACATCACTCACCCATCACACAGAAATTAACTAATGTGTGCTCACTTCCGTTATCAGGAATCACTATAAACTCGTGTATACCAGGACCACTCCCCACCGTTTGTCTGTTATCCCATATCTTTCTAGATTCCTCGTCCAGAAGACTTCCGTCAGGAAGCCTGAGTACATGATATCCATTGTCACATTTTTGCGCTACCCTACTTTCTTAGCTTTACGGCGCATTGACTTAAAAATTCATTCCTTCGGGGGTGAACAAAGCAATTCGTGGATTGACTCGACAAAGAATTCTAAAATTAGGACCAAAAGATCAACTCCACGACAGTTTATTTGTTTGCGTCAATAATTTATGGGTGCACAAAACGGGATGATGTACTCCGATTACTAACGTCTAACTAATTGTCAAACATTTTGCATAGCATTTGCGTAATAGTGGCTTTCATGAGGTGTTTTACCGGTTCCTTGTGACCGCCTGGTGATCAGGGGTGGGGGTTACTTTATCAACTTCGCCAATCACTTTGAAATGTGTTCGTCTATTTGTTGTGCTCGTTGAAGGTTTGTTATACCTATTTATGCGTCACCGCAACTTCGGTTTACGGAGTACGCCACCTGGCGATCAACGGACTATTGTAGATATATGGCATAAAAAATCACACAGAGATATTAGTTGAGGTAGGTATCTAAACTTTTGAAATCTAGAGGCAGAAATACGTACTACAAGGCACACTCCAAGGTCGAGGACAGGTAAGCACTCACCACAGTTGGGGTTATAAGAGTATAATACGGATTTAGGCTCACTGGTTTCGTGGCCGAAGACGTGGCGGGTTTTCACTTGACACGCATTCTTCCTATAAAACACCGCAAGTGTCTGCCGTAGAAAAAGTGTCTCGCTACATTTCAGGCCATAATCCATTGTCCCGTTCAGTTTCCTCAACGATCCTCTTCAGAGGAGGCCAGTGAACAAGATTGGCGGTCACAAGCTTATCTGAAACAACCTTGATGACTTGTAGGTTTCAATTAAATGTTCATTGACTAGAACTGTAACCTCCATCAACAAAAATATCGAACAGTACAGTGAGCATCGCTTGTCTTCCGATTCTTGACAACTTCTGTGACTCAGTGTAGTCCTCGGAGCTCATTTGTCCTCTGTGGACATTTAAAAGGTAAAATGTCTTCTAGAATAAGGTTTAAAATTTCTCTAACCGATATTTTTGATAGAAGTTACAACACTGTAGCAGACTCCACTTCTTTTCTCATTAATGACCCTCTTTGGATTCTAGCCTCATCGATTTTGAGCTAATTAAGGCTTCAAACACGATAGCAGCCGTGGTCGGCTGACGCGCACAATTTACGCGAATACACTTGTCATTGGATCACATGTTGATTGAAAAGAGCTAGGAACTGACAGCCCAAACTGGTATATATAGGTGGCGCTAAACGACGATTAGCAGTTGATGAGGTTCCGAAATTTTATCAATTTTATGTGCACTTCAGTGGGACCACGGTTCGTCGCTGAACAGCAGTGGCGATTTGTATTTTCAGTATGTGTGTTTGGCTGTTCATATTCACCCGTTGTCTGATTATGAAACTGCAATAAAATCGAAATCATTATTATCCGATGAAGTGTGTGCGAGAGAGAGATGAGTGAAACAAAAAAGCTCATTATCTCCGTGCAACGGAAAAAAACGTACCCGCGATAACTGACACGATGTGCGCACAGGTTTGACCGATTTGGGGCGTTGCTGACGGCTTGGTTGGTTCGATGGTCGCACAAGTGCCAGAACGATAGAACAGAGAATCCGATCTATCATAGGGTCCAACATGTGCAACGAAGGGATTCCAATTGAATGACATCTCGTTTTAATTCAATTGACATGAGGTAGCTGTCTGTATTGCAGGCGCTAATTGTCCTAGAGCTCACGTTATTGTGAAGTATAATCCAATCCCGGGGCCGGCAATAATCCATATCCTGTTGTTGTTATTACCAAAAGGGAGGGTGCGATTTTCTCATCGAATCATTTTATGAACCGTATTTCCTAACTCCAGAATGACCGACGAAAATGATAATGGTAAGGTAATAAATTCTTGTCGTTTTTCAGGGCACGTGTATGAAATAATGGACTGTAACTGGAGGACTGTTTACACCCATTTAAAGGTAAATACTTAGAACTAGGCCGAATCAGTGTCCTGGGTACGCAAACCGACAATCATAATGTAGAATAATATATTGTGAATTTCGTCGTGTATAGAGCAAAATGAACTGAAAAGCTGGAAAGCACTGGACAGTTGTTTCGACTTGATTGGATCTCATCAGTAATGGGAATCCATCGACTCGACTTGGCATCACAAGAATAGTGTTAATTGGACCACCGGACAGCTGATCAGACCGCTTTTAATTAACCGATACATGATATAGCACAACACATCCTTACTAGCTTGATGCCGGCATTACAGCTTGCGCATATCAACACCAATTGCCAGGGTTGTGACTGGGTTAGAAACATTACAGACCTAACTGCTTGTGCTATCCCTGGTTTATGGGCAAAATTAAAGTGTTCTGATCACCTCTCCGGTTGTCAAATGAACAGTATTCTGGTGATCTAATTGTGAGGTACCGGGTTCGATCCCAAGTCGGGTCGATCGATTCGCACTACTGATAAGGCCCAATCCGGTTGAGACGGCTGTCCAGTGCTTCCTAGCCTTTAGGTTCACGCTTTATTTGCTCTGTACACGATGAAATTCACCATACACCAAAATCAAACCAACAAGCAATCTCAAGCGGTAATGTAAATTAATGTTGACTGACCATACTTGAAACGTTACCTCAACACGCAATCCTCAGGTTACACAATCAACCATATACCTAAACCTGTGTTGAAGACCTGGTTTAGTGGAGGCAGCAAACAGCGTCTCTCGTCGTTTCTGTCAGACCAACTGAACCGATGGGGTTTCATTGAAGATGTCTGAACTAATTTGAATCCCTAATTCTGATCAGCATCAGTAGGAGTTGCTTGATTTCTTGATAACTTTCAAACCTTCCGTACGAGGAGTCCAGAGTTCTAATCCCGGATGGTCCAATTTATATGCAATACTCAGAAGCTCCATCAGGAGTGAAACTTAAATGTGATGCTTCTCTAGTGTTTAGTTGAGTCAATGAACTAACGGTGTTGCGTTTGGCAAATGTTAGATCTGAAGCAGAGACATTTATCTCAGATACATTTGTAATCTTCCCTCACTTTTTGTCACCATTTCAGAGCCTAGACAGCCAGTCACCCTTATCAGGTGACAGTTTCTAGGTCCCACACGACTGGCCTCCAATCTTTTTTCACAAAAACAGTCAAACTGTGTTACCATTCTTCCCTGTTTGCTTTTTCTCTCGACTGCAACCTCTGTCTCTTCAAAACGACATGAAAAATTGTATCTATCGCAAATACCTTTTCCGCTGACCTCCGTTCGCCTATGATATGTCTTCGATTTAATTGGCTTGTTTTCTCCATTGCAAAAATTAACCTGATACAAAGCTAAACATGACGTTCGATTATTTCACATTCGGGTCTTACAACAGCCACGTGAGAAACTGAAACCCGAGAACATGAAGCCATTTCGTTTTGATTTAAGTTTTATCCTTTACATCCATCTTTTTACTTACCATCCCCGTAGATGACAATGTTGGTAAAAATAGTTGTGTTAGAGGTGGCAATGGAACCAGTTGTATCTAAATCTAAAATGATTTCGATGAAACACATCATTGTTAATTCTGTCTGTTCGAAGTCAGAAGTCACTGACATTTTTTTCCTTCTCATGGCCTCGTTTTACTCAATGCATCTATCAAAATGCATTCAGTGATCTCATTTCATTGCCTTCCCCCTGCCCTACCCTCATCCTACTGTTCCTCATTGATCGAAATTCCCGGGATGGTCCAATCGCTCTCTGGCTCTGCCATCTTCATTCACAGTCTAACTTTTGTCTGAAAGATTTGTGCGAACGTTCCGGACCGGATTATAACAACCGATGCCCCGCGTTACTGGAAGGTGGCTTTCCCACGTTAGCTACGTACTTGGGACAATTAATCATTCCGTTGCTGTTTCGTTGCTGTGCCGGGCGTAAAGGTGAACCCGAAACGATCGGAATTTGTTACCCGTGTATTTTCCGTGCGCTTCGTAGCATGTGTACAACCATGTGTGTGTGTGTCTGTACATGCGTGCGTCTCTGCATTCTGCCGGTTACGTGGCGGGTTATCGGTTGCAAAGGAATTCGCGTCAGTTTTGTTAATTACACGGAGAGTTCAGTGTTCCACAATTCGGTGGTTGATTGTTGTATCTAAATGCTGTTGAAACGAAGGGGGGGGGGATTGAATTTGTGACTCGTAACAGTCGGAATGGAGTGATGATAAAAATTCTGCAATTAAGATAAAGGGTGCTGGTGATAAGTTACATGCGCAATCTGGCCCGATATAGCTACTGAGTAAAACCTTAGTCTAGCTCCATCACCGGCGGTATGAGCGAAACTCGGTTTCTGAAAAGTCCATATCCTATTTCCGATGATTAAAAGTTAATTTTATACGTCGAAGTCTATCTCACTCGAGTCTCAAATACTGTATATTTTTGGTAGTTCTTGTTTTTATTTTAAGTTTATATAGCTTTATTGGCATCCCTGAATTATATCAAAATACGTTTATAAGTAGTATCGAAAGTTTAGCCTTACATGTTGATTATCAATGTTCTCACTCACATACTCACATATCAATGATTGTGAAAAAGAATCCCGTCGCATAGGATATCCTAAGATCACGAAGTTATGGATAGTTGATGGTGATAACTCAAGGTCTTCGATGAACATTTGCGATGGTCGTTTTTCACAGAACCATTACCTTATTTGGCTTATTCTTCTTTTAGCAGTCCTCGAACTTAGATGAATCACCGTACGCGATGAGTATGAAACAGATGAACACTATTCAACTATGCACCTATATTGAATTGAAATCCATCTTCATTATAGATTCACCTTCTTTGTCAAAAGAGAACGTGTTCTATGCACTCGATGTGTGTGTCACTGCTTTGTTTGCTCCGGAAACCTCTTCCAAGTCATCACTTCGTACACAACCCGGGCAACCTCAGTACTTAGAACCGCGAAGTTCCATCTCCCCGGAACGGGTTCGGGACAAAACTAACCGATACGTACCCGAGTCATCCACGGTGCTTAGCCCACCGACAATTGTAGCGGCCAGTTCAGCTGTCACGGTCACAAATATCGCAACCGGTTTGATGGATTTAAGTTCGGGCACAAATGCTTTGCGCCTCATGAATCTTTCTTCACTCGGTCCCGATCAAGAAACTGGACCATTTTCCACCCTGCCACGATTAATCTGTCCAACCCTGTCCGGCATCACATCAATCGATTCTGCAGAGTCCATAAACCAACAAAAACAACAACCACAACAGCAGCAACAAGCACAACAGTCATCCCAGACACCGGGATCACAACAACAACAACAACTGCAACAACAGCAGCAATCGCAACGCCACTCAACCCAACCTTCGTCTCAACCACAACAACAGCAGCAACAACCACAACAATTATTGCAGCCCAACTCACAATCCACACGGTCTGGAGGTAAAACAGAAGGTGTGCTTGGCAGTGGAGCTGTCAGTATTCGAGCTCGTGCATCCGTGATAGCAACCGGAACTAAACCTTCACTGGCGCTGTCTAAAAGCAAACCGCAATCCACGCACACACGATTGCTGGACACATCTGCTATCAGCGCAATAAGTTTGGGAGAACGACCGACCAACTTTAAGGCCGAATTCGCTCATCGGTAAGTGAAATTCAATATATCCGATTCGCCAATGGTTTGCTACTTTATGCACAATTCAGTAGTCATTCCAGTGTGCCATCTAAAAAAACATTAGAAAAATAGACCAACTGAATCCCCTCATTGTCTAGTAGCAATACGATCTCTATCAAATCAACTTCCTCCGGATGGGGCATTTATCATCCTGGTGTAACGTGCATTATCGTTGTTCCACCAGAAATACACTCACACTTGTGTGCTTCATATCATCTTTCTGACATGAGGCTCAAGTGACTGTACGCACAACTCGACGTTTTCTGCACCGACTTCGATTGACCAAGGATCAGATTTTGGCAAGATATTCGCTCCGGTCAATGGTAGTCGGGAACACTGCGAGAGGAATTATCCGTTGGTGCTATCGCAGAGTTACGTCTGTAAAAAAATTGGTTCCAGATTCAATGCCACTGTTGGTACAGAATAATGTAGGACAACAAATTTCCTGAGAATCGAAATGAAAACTAATGAAACGGTTTTTGAACAACGAATTCTTGTCTCAAAAGACTAGTGATGCATCAGTCCCATTCATAGGCCTTACAAAGCACACACGCAACACGTGAGAAATGATTGAAATAACTTCTGGTGGTATTTGGCCATTTTGTATGAGTGGGACTGTCGCTTGATTTCTCGTCTCTACAGCTAATTTGCCAACCCCCATCACATCATCGCATTTCCAATTTGTGCTTATTCGCCACTGCAACAACAGTGTGTCCACCTCCCGTGTTCAGTCATCATTTCGGTACCAAAGCAACAACAGGCTCACAATCTGTTCTTTTTAACTTGAATTTCTCTCGTTCTCATAGGGTCGAAAGCTGTTTACCACAGATAGCTATAGAGACCCTCTGCCCGGGTCATGCATTTTGTCGTTTTTGTGCACGGCACCTCGAGGCGTGGGCCACGAGAGTACACTGGGTGTCTGTAAACACAGAAGAAAGTAGTAGGTTTGCGCGCTCAATGAAAGAACAATCATTTAGAAAGCCATTCCAATCAACTGATGACCGTTGTGATTCATTTCAATAAAAATGCGAATAGCTTTTGCAGAATTCCAGATAATTTTGACACAGTTTGAGAACAAATCAAAATCAGGACAGTAACACATCAGTCCCACTAAACTGACCGTATTGAGCTCTCAAAATGAAATAAACATAAACAGCCTGCTAAGAAATCATTATGCAAATTTCACGTCACAAGTCTAGGCAATGCGGTTACGAATTCAAACAGTCACCCAGAATCCCATAAAGTGAAAAACATAATAAGAAATCCACAACCGTTCCAGAAACGGTATTGATATGAAATTTAGCACTTACAATTCAAGTAAATCCAATTATTGATACGGAACAAAAACATATGTCAAACAGTATACTAGTATAGAGTGATCACCATCAACTACTTGGGTTTCGTCATCCACAGTAAGCTCCGACAGTCCACACGCATTTACAACTGTATGGGGAAATTGAAACGCCTATCCTTT